TAGTAATCAAGCCTACTAAAGATGAATGCATGGACTAGTTTTTCCAGGTCCTGTTGAGACATCAGATCTTTTATCCTTGAAATATTCTTGAGGTGATAGTAAGCTGACTTTGTTATTGTCTTAATGTGTTTCTCTAAGTTTAGGTCTGCATCCATCACTACACCCAAATTTCTCGCCTGGTTTGTGGTTTTTAGATGTATAGATTGAAGTTCTCTGGTGACCTGTAATCGTTTTTCTTTGGCGCCAAGGACTATTACCTCAGTTTTGTTTTTGTTTAGCTGGAGAAAATTGTGGCACAACCAGTCATTGATTTCCTCAATGCATTTACCAAGAGCCTGTACAGGGCCTCGGTCTCCTGGTGACATTGTGATATATATTTGTGTGTCATCTGCATAGCTGTGATAGTTTATTTTGTTGTTGTTTATAATCTGTGCCAGTGGGAGCATGTAGATGTTAAACAGAAGGGGTCCCAAGATGGAACCTTGGGGAACTCCACATGTGATACTTGTCTGCTCAGATGTGAAGTTACCTATTGATACAAAGTATTTCCTGTTTTCTAAGTATGTTTTGAACCAGTTTAGTACAGTTCCTGAAAGACCTGCCCAGTTCTCCAGTCGTTTGAGTAATATGTTATGGTCAACTGTATCAAATGCTGCACTGAGATCCAGTAAAACTAGGACTGACATTTTTCCACTGTCTGTATTCAGACATATGTCATTAAACACTTTGGTCAGAGCGGTTTCAGTGCTGTGGTTCTGTCTAAAACCTGACTGGAAGGCATCGTAGCAATTATTCTGTTTTAAGAAGTAACTGAGCTGTTGAGAAACTGCTTTTTCAATGATCTTACTTAAAAACGGGAGATTTGAGATCGGCCTGTAGTTGTTCATTTGTGTCTTGTCAAGATTGTCCTTTTTCAGTATAGGTTTGATTACAGCAGTTTTTAGTGATTCTGGAAACATACCTGACAATAAAGAAAAGTTGACGATCTGTAACAGGTCTGACTCTAAAGTCTTTGAGACCTTTTTGAAAAAACTTGTTGGCAGGACATCTAAACAGCAGGAGGAGGAGTTCAGTTGACCTAAGATGTCCTCCAGGTCTTTGCTGTTAATCGGGTGAAACTGTTTCATGGTGTTTAAACAGTTTTTTGGTGGACACAGTACATATCCTGGATCTGCTGTTGATGTACCAATTGCTTGTCTAATTTTTTGGATTTTTTCAGTGAAGAATTTGGCAAAGTCATTGCAGGCCATGGTCGAATGAAGTTCAGCTGCCACTGACACAGGAGGGTTTGTTAGCCTGTCAACTGTAGAAAATAAGACCCGAGCATTATGGCTGTTTTTAGTGATGATGTCAGAGAAGTAGGACTTCCTTGCATTCCTCAGTTGTAAATTATAATTGTGAAGTTTCTCTTTATAAATGTCATAATGAACCTGGAGGTTTGTTTTTCTCCATCTGCGCTCAGCTTTCCTACACTCTCTTTTTTCATTTTTCACCAGTGTGGAGTTTCTCCATGGAGACTTTTTCCTTCCAGAGATAACCTTCACCTTAATGGGAGCAATAGTGTCCATTACATTTAACATGTTAGCATTGAAGCTATTGACGAGCTCATTGACTGACCCTCTGGACAGGTCAGGTGTTAATGGGAAGACCTGGTTAAAAATTGCACTACTGTGTTCAGTTATACACCGTTTTGTGATCACTGTTGTTGATCTATTTGTGTGGGCTGAGATTTTACTTTCAAAGAAAACACAGTAATGATCAGACAGGCCCACATCAGACACAGTAACCTTTGAAATGCTCAGGCCTTTGGAGATCAGTAGGTACAACTCACTATAAACTTTTTCCTTGTCTTTACCACCTCTCGTTCCTGTACACCTCGCTTCCCAGTACTCCTGTCTACTTTCTTAAACATCCTGCCTATCCCACTTATTCTCTGTCAACCTCTTTCTTTGAACACTTTCTTGTACTCCCTCATTCCACAGCCAAGTTTCTTTGTCCTCTTTGCTCTGTCCAGAGGACACACCGAACACCTTCTTGGCACTACTGCTGAACTTTCCCCAGTCATCTGATAAGTCTTCCCTAGCACCCAGACCCCGTCTCAAGTCCTCCCAGGACTCTGTGCACTGTTCTTCCTTCTTCAGCTCACAACAATTGAAATCCTAAACTGTTTTTTTTCTCTGTATTGGATCCATTAGATTGCATTACCGTACATTAGCTCCCTCAACTGCTAATTCTCATACATGAACATAGATCATTTGTTGAAATAGCTGAACCACTTAAACAGGATTGATGAAGAGTGTGCTTAGATTGAATTATGTTACTAATGCATTTAAACTTCTCTCATTTTCTGGCTAAAGCTAAAATATTAAAATGTCTTAAACTCAGTTTTGCCGGGTCTCAAACCGCACATCTCTAGCCCCGGTCTACACATTTGGATCATGCAGTGCAAATTCAGTATTAAGAGCGTGCTTTATTGTCTGACTCAACCTTTCAGGCTTTTTCACATGTTTAAAAAAGCATTGACTGTAAAATGTCTAACTTAACAGTTCTAGCTCAAGCTAAAAACTGGAAATGCTTATGAAACAAACTGCGTTGTGTGTTTAAGATGGGTCACACTTTTGTTTTTCTTTTCGCCGTAATGAATATATTTGAGCAACGTGCATAAACTCGAGCTCTTGGAAAGAGTCTATTTTCACACTGCTCTTTGGTTCCATGTCAAGTTTAATCAGTTTCATTTAAAGTAGAACCCAAATAAGTAGATTCTGTTCATCTCTTTTCAGTCTGAGAAAACGTGTCCAGCTTTTTTAGGTTTTCCTTACCTGGATGATTGAGCGTGCATCAAAATAATTTAATGTACTGTTAAAAAGTCTTAAATGTAGCTGTAGATATGTGGTGAAAACAGCTGCATTTGTTAGTTTCTGTAATTGAGACAGACTGTAATTCACAGGTCAGATTTTAGTCACTTTTGAGTCTTTCATGTTTCTTTTCAGCCCGTTGCTTAACATTACTTCTGTCAATATTAGCCTTCAAAAAAAAAGTGTAAGAGGTTTAGATCATATGCACTTAAAGCACCCAGGTAAATATTTAGACTTTATGTGGAAAACGTGGGGATGAATGTCAGCGTCGGGTTTTGTTCTTGACTGTTTAAACACGGCTTGTCCTTTCAGGCCACACTTGTCCTCAAAGCGAGAATGCGAGTCTTGTTTGTTCGGCCTCGGCACAATACGCAACCTGGTGAAGGTGGCAGGCTGGGCGATAGGGCTCTGATTATGGCATCACGAGGCTTTGATAAGCAGGGGGAGAGGGATATCTCCTGCCTGCAGTTCTTTAATAGAGGTGCTGAGTGAAGTAAGAGATCCAGTTTTGTCATGGTGGAGGGCGCTGACGCTTGTTGTCACCAAAAACCGTGCTTTTGATAAAGCTCACGTCATGAGCGAGGTAAGTCACTGAAACTGCAGAAGAAGTGTTGATCTTATTCAATTTACTCGTTTTTTTTCTGCTCTCTTTTTTTCCCTACTATGCTTCCCTCAGCTTGTTCTCATACGTGCCTTCGGTTGTGGAAAATTCTTGCACCCCTTCGAGAATCCTTCACACGTTGCTTCCACCTCGAGGGATTCACCGTGAAACCATGATATGAATGAGGGCCCTGTAAAAACAAACAACGAGATCATTTAGCTACACTCTGAGGGCTTCACTCGTCTGGATAATGCGCTGCAGGGTTTTGGATCAGTAATTAAGTGCTGAACGGTTGATGGTGATGTGGATGCAGGCTGATGCTTCAGTTCATAGCAAAATAGCACAGATCTGCTTGGTTATTGGTCCTTAAAGCTGAATTCTTGACTCTGGAGGTCACTGAGGTGCAGTGAGTCTGCTCACTCCTGTTTTTAGGCACTTGTTTAAAAAAAAAAAAGGGGGGTGGAGAGAGATCTGAGAAATTGAACCTTGGGTCAATATTGAACGTTTTCTTGAAAGCCTTTTATTTTCAGCCCGTCCTCCGTTCAGCAGAGGGCTTACCGCTGCTGTCACCTTTGTGTGGCATGCAAAAAGAAGCATGGTGTTACAGGCTATGGGAGTCAGTTTTCCACACTCTTCCTGCACATGCCTGCATGTCTGATCATCTGTTGACCTATAATTATTATTAACCAGAAAGTTTCCCGCTTAAATTTTCTCATCTCGATGGACTTCATAATCTTCGTGTGTCTAGGGGACCTTTGTACATCACACAGGTGCTGTAGAAGGTGTAGAAAATGTGATGTGAGCTATAAAAAAAACGATAAAAATATTTTACAGCGTGCTTGTAAGTAACGACATTTTTATTGTCGTTTTAATTGAATTACTAGTAGTTAAACTGAAGTTTTGTAGTTTAAACCCATCAGAAAAGTATTTGATAACAATAAGAGTACAGTACCATCTGTGCTAAAACTTTGAGCCTAGACACAAAACTATCATCACGTTTGCTGTTGCTCCCTGCAGCACAGGAAAGCCTAGTGTAGGACCACCATGTTGGGAACATTTAACAGGGTGTCAAATGACTTGCGATCCCCGAGTTTTGCCACCTGCTGAATGGTGTCTGAGCGGGTACTCTTGTCATATCGCTGCAGTCCATCCTTTTCTCAATATCTCACCGGGAGAGACGGAGCAGGGCTCAGCGGGTTACTGTGTCGTGCTGCAGGAAAACAGATCTCTTATCACCCATGTGATCCCTGTTGGAACTGATCAAAGCTCATGGCTATGGTTTCTGACTTTAAAGCTCATGTTGAAGAAGAGATGACCTAACTGATGTGTTCACAGCTAGGACAGAACGCCCTCTAGTGGTGGTTTTAAGTGAGGCGCACACTTGTTCATTCTGAGCTGGGTTTTCAGCATGCACTCTTAGACATATGCATATCTCTTCTAACATAGGGCGAGAGGCGGGGTACACCCTGGACAGGTTGCCAATCTGAAGCATTTCCTCATTCTTATTTCACTGCTGTCTTGTTTATTTTCATCTTTTGTTGCAGCCAGAAGCTCCTGCTGCTTCATCACTACACGGGTCTCCGCGCCCAGAAGAGGAGGATGATGGGGACCTGAATAAAGCCTTGGGTGTCCAGCGCTTCCAGCAGATCCTCACGCCTGCTGCTGCCGTGCCTGATAAGGAGCACCACATTTACCATGACGAAGACATTGAATGTGAGCGTGCACAGAAGCTTCATAAAGCATGGAGATGCTTTCAGTTGTGTGCGAACAGCTCTGAAATTGATGTATTTATCTGTGTTTCAGACCACCGACACTCCTCTCACCACATCCACCGGCCTCTGTCCAAACTGCCCTCTGACGTACGCAGGAGGAAGGGCAGCAAGAAAAGGAAGAAGGATAAAGATCACAAAAGCAGCCATCCTCTCTGCAGTGTCCCCATAGAGGAAGGTGAAGATGAGGAGGAAGAGGAAGAAGAGGGGACAGAGCTAAATTCTGTTCTGTCAGAGCGATCTGAGTCAGAGAGAACCAAAGATGTGGAGGTAATCATTTTATTATTAGATTCATTTGAGTCTTTTTAACACAGTGTTTGGGAGCAAATAAGATAAAACCCCACGAGAAGCGTTATTTGATACAAAAATTGGTTGAAAATGGGTTTTAAATACAAATTTGCTTCGAGAAAATGGAACAATGTGATGTAACTTTTCTCTTTTAAACCAAATTGAAACCTACTGTGTACCTTTAGGCTTGTTCTAATTTCGGGAGTAATTAAAAGCTTGAATTATGTTGAATTCTGGGTTTTGCAATTGTCTGACAACTTTTCACCTTTGATTTTCTACTTTAAGCATAAAGAGACTTTTTTTTTTTTTTTTGATTTGCTGACCAAAGCTAGACCAGAATAAATGTTGATGGGTTCCTGAGGCTTGGTGGAATTTGAGAAGAAACTCTATACTCTTAAACAAACACTAATCAACACTGGGCAGGAAAAATCCCCCTTTTTAATAGAAGGGAATGTCAAACAGAACCGGACTCGGAGTGGGTGGCTATTTGCCTCAACCCACTTGAATGAGTTCGCATAAAATCAACAAGTAATAATCAAACGATTGCATGAAACTTTTTGCTCCCTTTGAATTCATACTGAAATCCAGCAACATCTAAATAACTCTGATTTATGTGCAAAAGTCTCCACAGGCTTTGTTTCTCCATTGTCTGGATGTGAGAGACGTTAGATTTATCTGATTTATTTATTTTTGACCGTGTTACAGGAAGCAGCACTCTCACGCTTCCTTTTCCCTCCACAGTTCTTCGTTTCCGAAGATGACCATGTATCCAAAAGTGTCAAAGAGAGCCCACACTCGGTCCGAAAGCTCGACATCGTACCGCAGTCCGGTGTGGGAGGTGAACATGAAGACGCAACTTCCACAGAGTGAGTCAAGTGTGCTTCATAGACTTCAAAAAGAAGTGAAAAAGGGCGTGATTGTTAGGTTGGTAATCATGCCTTACCTGCCGCGATGACTGCTTAATGCATGTTTTTGTCTTTTTTGATGAAATGTCCTCACAGCCATCCTGTTTGGGTGAGAGCACTGAGGCTCACGCCTGTTCGGGGGGCGGGGGTGTGTGATGCACTGTACGTTACCATGTCTCAGGCATCCAGTGAGCCTGCTGGGCATGATCAGATGGACCAGAGGAATCCTGTCCTCAGAGACCCATATATCACCTGTTGCTACTCAGCAGCCCTGACTCCACCTGTGACATTTACTTTGTTCCTTTTTAAAGAAATCTGAGCTTGAAAGAAGCTGCACATACACCTTTTGCTTATTTTGAGTCGATTAGAGATCAGCTTAACCGCAGAAGATTTGTCTTTTAAACCATTCTTACCTAAAGTGGAGGAAGTTGACTTAAAGACGAGGTTGTAAAGTAGCGTTTACGCTAGACGGTAAGTTAATTATGTCTATTTTTGCTGGATGTGTTGTTAAAATTCTTTGTCCTCTGTCCACTTTTTTGCTTTTTGCAGCTAAATGTGTAACTTGCACCGTGAAAGCATTTATCAGAGTAGGAGAAGCAGTAGAAGGCTGTAATACTTCGACAATGTTAGTCCTGTTAAAACGAAATAACTATTGGGAGGATTTTTATGTGTGGTTGAGTGTGCACAGTTCCCAGTTTTTAAAGGGGGAAATGTTCAATCCTAAAGATAAAAGATGAAAAACAATCCTTTTTTTACTTCTAATCTTTCTGCTCTTCTTTAGTAAACTGCCTTCATCTGAGCCCTCCAGCCCCACTGCCCAGTCAGTCCCAGCCGAGCACACGCCACTGACCCGCGTCTCCTCCGCCAGCCGCAGTTACGACCTGACAGAGCGTCGACGCACGGGCAACATGACGGGTGCCGAGCAGGCCAAGTACCAGCGCATCCCCACTGATGAGAGCGAAGCTCAGACGCTGGCCTCTGCTGACCTGGACGGCATCAAGAGTGAGTGCGAATCATTTGGCAAGCAGATACTAATCGTGGCTTAAGTTCAAGCCTACACAGACTAAAAGTGTAAAGGGGTATTTGACATAGGTGCCCTCCAACTAGCCTTCTGTGGTTGTGTTTGAGGGGTGTTTTTGAAGGAAACGCACTTTGAGCGTTGATTGAAGTGAGATGTAATGTGAGCAATAAAGCGTTTCTCTCCTGCTTTTTATTGGCTGTTGATATTGTTAAAAGAGGACTCGTTACCTCTTTATGTTTTGTGTATTCTGGTAAATATGTAGCATTCTTTTTATCTGTATTCTGGGATCACCAGTGGCTCACATGACTGCCTGTATGTAAAATGAGCTCCTTGTAATGATAAACCCAACAGATAATCATCTCCTTACTCTGCAGTTTCTGTCTGCTTTACAAAATGATGATTGTTACAGCTTGCAAGGTTGGACAAAAAATAGTACAAAGTATACTTACCTGCTCAGCAGTACATAGTGACTTTTTGTTAAACATAGAAAGATGTTTTCTTAAAAGAAAACGACGGTGATTAAACAGCATAATCCACCAAATCTCAGGCTGTAAAGGTTTGTTATTGTTTCTACATCCTTGAGCCTCCGGTGGGCCATATGACTTCAATTTCGTCATCAGGTGAAGAGTGCAGGGCTTTGTGTGCACAAAAGAGTGCTTGCTAGCTTTTTGCGCATGTCCAGACTCTTATGAGGAGAGACAATAGACTACAGTACATCAACTCTGCACACACTCTTCAGGTGGATTCCAGAGAAAGCACAACAGGTATGACTACTCATCTGTGGTGTCTCCAGCTGTCTGTGTCTGCTTTGCTCTTTGCCTAAGACTAAGTATTTATATGCAGTTTGTGGGCAAAATGTCTGAGGTGATGGATCTATTAGAGTATTTTATTTATTAGTAAAAAATCCAACCATTGCTTTTATTGATTTATTCAACAAAACTAAGGTTGTCATAGGTAGAGAGGTGGGATACAGGTCATTGTGATACAGATAATCACATATTTACAATCATCAGTTTGTCTCTGGACTGTGAATGCAAAAAAGAAAAAAGTCCCATTGATGGTCAATCAATGGGACTTCACTTTTTTTGTTTTTTATCCTGGTTTGAAAATGTTTCATGGATAATAAAGATAAAGGCCCTACATTTCCTGCTTCTAAATTCATATAAAACTGATGTTATTGTAGTCTTCGGCTGATTCAAAATCCCGCGGCGAGAATATCACCCCATTAGAGCACTTCACTGTCAGACTGTGGGCTTACTTGTTGGATCATAGAGTAACTAAAAGTAAAATGGGAGGAAGAGCTTTCAGGCTCAAACTGTGAATTTGGGAAACAGACACCCTCTTTACTTTTAAGAACAGGCTTAAAACTCCTTTTTGATAAAGCTTCAAGATGGGGCTGGATTAGATGACCCTGAACCCTCCTGTAGTTGCGCTGCAATAAGCCTAGGCCTCTGTGGGCTTCCCACGGTGCTTCTTCTTCACTCATTTCTTTTCACTGTATTTGCATTAGCAGTTATTAAACTCTGGCACTCCACATTGTGTCTTTCTCCCGTCCGTCTCTGCTCACCCTAACTGTCAGATGGCCCCTCCTCCCCGAGCCTGGTTCTGCGGAAGATTTCTTCCTGTTAAAAGGGAGTTTTTCCTTCCCACAGTCACTAAGTGCTCGTTCAGAGGGGCTGTGTGATTGTTGGTTTTCTATCTAATATTTTAGGATCTTTGCCTTACAATAAAAGTGCCTTGATGTGAGTAGATTATTCTTTTGTTTTCAGGAAATCTCCTAACTACACCTTTTACAAAAAGTTTAAAACACACTGTTGGGAATGTCATTTTAAAAATATGGTATTATTCACGCGTTACTCTTTCTTGTAGATGTCATTTGCTGTTAATCTTCACCAGCATTAACACAAACTTTGTACTTTGCACTAAAACATGTTCTGCGTGTTAAAGAAGCTGGAGAAATGATTAAATACAGCTGAACTGATAGCTAGTCACTTTGCTTAGATTCCTTCGCAAACATCAGGGTGAAGGTGTGGGGCCCTTCTCTGTTTGACTGCAGACTGCTTTCCACTGCCCTGTGACATTCCCAGCCCCAAGCCCAGCGTGGGGTAGTGTCCAGGGCCGAGGTGATTTGCGTCAGGGAGCCGACTCCTCTGCAGAGAGCAGCAGCTTATCAGAAACTGTGGCAGACAGGCCTGCATTATTAAATTAGCTGTTCCCGCTGTCAGATGAGGGCCCTGGACTCGGGCCTGAGCCAACATGGTGGCTAATTGTTAAATCCGGACCTCTGTTTCCAACCTTTAATCATTAAAGGAGTGAAACCAGAGGAAGAATTAAGTAGACCCGAGGGCCAAAACAAGGCAGCTGAGGATGGAAGTGTGGGCGTGATATTTGGTCATTATGAAAGAGGTGAGCCTGCAAACAGGTTCACTGTCACATACTTTCTGTCCTCTTTTATCTACCTCCCGCCACCCTAAATCATCCTGGGAAAGTGTCCGTCTCTGGCTGCCGCTCAACAATAGGAATTATTAGATCACTGTCCCTCCCCTTTTGTTCGACCCGAGCAAATTAGCACCTCTGCTCACTGATGCATTCTGAAAGCTTCAGCTCCGGCGGGGGTCAGGAGCCGGTCAAGAAGTGGCGACTTTTTCCAATTTGTCAAAACAAGTCCAACACTTAAGTTTGAGCAGCGAGGAGGGTTGGGGTCACGCAGTAAGGTGGCTGCGCCAGCGCCAGATGCTCTCGATGCCTGCAGCAGAAACCCTCCTCTTCCTTAACGCCAGCCAGGGCTCATTTTTTTTCCAGGTTCTGCCCCAAAGTGCAGGCAAACATCATGTAGTGACCTGACAAGGGGCCCTCCCAATAAAACCTGAAGGTTGTACGAGTGACGCGAGAACCAATGAGTCAGTTCTGGACAGAATTTCATCTTTTGTCCTGGCGAGGCCTGCCCGGTTATCAGATAATGAGTTAAAGCCTTGATGAAGAACCAGAAAAGCCTCAGTGTTTTTTACATAGGATATGCAAGCTCTGATAATGGTAAGCTTTGATATTTTTTTAAGGAAAATTTCACTCGTTTTTGTGTTGAATGTGTTTTAACTTATTAACAGATCAATTTAGAATAAACAGGATGTCACAAAAGGTTGTAGTAGAAGTCCTGAAAATATAATAAACTTGGATGTTGTGGTTGTATGTTTGAGTGAGCTCAGAGAAAAGATGCTTGTTCAACAGATGCAGACTGTCATTTAAGGTTGATGTGAGCTTTTCGGGGTTTGTGTAGGCTTTCCTGTTCAATGATCCGGTTTTCATGGCCACAGTTAATGCATTTAAATGTGAGATTGAGTCGAGGCTCCCTTATGGTCTCAAAAATAGTGTTTTAGTGTTAAAACCTAAGTAATTGGATGTCTGTTGCATATTTCTTGTTGAAGAGCAGGCCTGTTCATTTTCTCAAGTTTATTTGTCAGTGTGAAGCTGTCATCTCCTCGGTTTCTGAATTCAACTTGAATGAATCAGCGGATCTGTTGATCTTTGAACTTCCAACACCTGACAGAACCATTTGTCTCTGTCATCATGTTTCTTTCTCCTCATCCTTTCAGTGGTTGGTGTGTTGCCAGCATGAGTAACTCTACTCCCTTAGATACAAAGCGAAGAGGCCTGTGATTAAATGGGTTGAGATTTAAAAGGGTGGAAGGTCAATGTGTGCCATCTCTGGGCTAAAGAAACAAAATGTGCCATACAAACTAAAGACCTGATGCTGTTGTGTTGCATGGAGCTACAGTTTGCTGCATGTTTATTTCCGTTACTCCAGGTCATCGCTTTGAAGATGTTCCTGGCATGCGCCGACACCTGGTCCGGAAGAGCACCAAGAACCAAGTGGTGCACATCGGCAAGGACCACAAGGAGCCGACCACTCGCAGTCGCAAGCAGGATCGCACCCCCCATGAGGTGAGACAACACCTCACACTGACGTCGCACAGGTGTCTTAAATTGATGTTGTTAGTAAGCACTGCATTTTAAGAAACTGCATAAAAATCTTATTATAGCACATTTATAATCTACTGGGCTGAATTAAGAATAAGGTCTTAAATTAGCTTGTGTGTGGTAGTCTGAATGACCCTAATTGAGATAAAGATGTCGAGATAAAACTGAGGAAAGTCAGAGTTTGAATTGGAAGCTGTCACCTCAGTGAAAGTTTAAGAGTTTCTTTGATTTTTCAAATTATTTCTTTACCTCAGGGATCTTTGGAAGAGATGAGTTTAAAGACGAGCAGCTTTTAAAAGTGAAACTCTTCCACTTTTGTAGTGGAAGTAAACAAACAAGTTTGTGTGGTGAGAAAGTAAATAGCAGGGCTTTTAAACCCAGTCGTAATTGGTTGGCTCTGTTTTCTACTTCAGATTTCAAATCCTTCAAAGTCCAGGAAATGTTTTCTCTTCTTTCGCTCTCAAATTTAGCAGTGGCTCGACTCTTTTGCCGATGGGCTGGGGAGAGAAGGAGACAATTAAAAATGAATGAGTTCGTTCTTTCCTTTCACACACGGAAAGGAAAAAAGAGGGGAGCTTGGGTAACCAGACACTGGGAGCTCCTGAGAAAGGGGGAGCTATGTTTTATTAACACGCACACACAGATTCCCATACGCAGCTCCGAGCCCCCAGCAGCCCCAGTAAACAACAGGTCCCTGTCAGGTGTGTGTGATGAGGAAGAACTACTTGTGTGGGGATGTGTGTGAAAGTGAAGGTCCCGTCCTTTGTGGCACTGTCGGTCGGGTCAGCGTTTGAGTCGTTTCCTGCACCGTTTGCAGCCGGTGGTTCTGTACCGCTCTGCCTCGTGGACAGAAGGCGTCCACAGATGCGGACAGATGGCTCGTCAGAAGGTGAGGCTGGATGGCCGGCAAGAGTCAGGTTTGATCCTGTGTGAGCGTGACTTCACAGGCATGCAGCAGGGAATAAGGGAATATTTTGCAGCTTGTTTTTTTTTTTTTTTTTTTTTTTGGACATCATTACTCGGAGGACTTCGACTGACCCAGCATGGCGTAATTAATCTCTCCCTAACAGATCCTGATCCTGGCAGCTGGGAGACTGCTGCTGCTGATGCACAGCAGTCTTTGTAGTTGCTTGTTTTTCAAGTGCAGCTGGATGTGTAAATTGTTTAGTTTGTAATAGTTGTAAACACATTTTAAGCATGCTTGAAGTGGTTATTAACATTGTAGTTGCTGCTTTTAAGCTATATTTTGGCATCGAAAGAAGCTTTTTGACAAATGTAGTTGTAAAAAGCGCATCCAGCTACATCACATTTTGTTGGAAACTACAAATTTGTACAGTTATAAAAACTGCTTTTGGATGCTCAAGGGGAAGAAAGTTAAGGCTGTACAGATTCTACTCTTAAAACTTAGATTAAGGATTAACAACACTTATCTTTGTGTGCTGAGTATGTTTTTTTTTTTTTTAGATAGCTCACTTCTGGAAAGCATGACATGAATCACTAAATTTCCCCCTCCTCATTTCTTAAGTTTTGAGCAGATATGTGAACGTATGAGTCAAGGCAAGAGGAATCAGAAATGTTAGCGCCAACATTTGTTAGGTCCTCCTGCTGTTATTTGTGTATTCTAGCTTTATCCTGTGCCTCTTTTAATATGCTAAAGTGAATGATGGGTTTCTTCATCCACCACCATAGCTCCTTTCTCCTTCAGGTGTGGAGACATCCTCGAGCGTGGCATTTGAGATTGATTGCAGGATCAAGGGCAGATGAGATGAGGCACAAAACAGAAATGAGAAAAGTTGGACAAAATGACCAGTCAGAGTGCTTTACTCACTGTTTCTGTGTGTTTGGCACGGATGTGCAAGTGATGACGTGTGGACCGTATGCATGTAAACCACCTCAGGTCTTTGTGGAGCTGAACGAGCTGACAATGGACAAGAACCAGGAGCTGCAGTGGAAGGAGACGGCCCGTTGGATCAAGTTTGAGGAAGATGTTGAAGAGGAGACGGACCGCTGGGGGAAGCCTCACGTCGCTTCGCTGTCTTTCCGCAGTTTGCTGGAACTCAGAAGGACCATCTCCCACGGTAAAGAGAGAGACTGAGTGTGTTTGTGTAAGCTGTATGCCTGAAAGTCTCTCGTCTGGTTCATAGACGACTGAGCTCAGCTTGCTTGTGTATTTGCAGGTGCGGTGCTGCTGGACCTGGACCAGAAGACCCTGCCTGGCATCGCCCACCAGGTGGTGGAACAGATGATTATTTCTGACCAGATCAAAGCTGAGGACCGGGCCAACGTCCTCAGAGCCCTGCTGCTCAAACACAGGTGATTGGCAGCGCCTCAGTGCTACAAATAAGCTAGCAGAGATTTCATCTTACAGAGGCATTCAGTGCCATTTGAGGTGAACCTGTTCTTGTTAATGATCTGAAAAAATGTGGCACATGCTGTGCACTGCAATGGCGATGATGTCTCAAGGTAGTTAAATGATAAATTGCAAGGTGTGGAAAATGGAGACCGGATATATGTATGTGCACAAACAAATGGAAGCTGGTTAAACTGTGTTTTCTTTTCCTCACCGCTACACACTTCCTGCTATTAGATGGCTTCATGCTTGGTCACTACCTCTCCTCCTCCTGTTCAACCTCTCTCTCCCCACCTCTGCCTCCCCTAGTCACCCGAGCGATGAGAAGGAGCACAGTAGCCATTTCCCCAGGAACATCTCCGCAGCCAGCCTCGGCAGTCTGATAGCGCATCACCACAGTGTCAACCACACCAACCAGACAGAGCCGTCAGTGACCGACCCCCTCATGGGCACAGTTCGCGTTACGGGGGACACAGACACGCACATCGACATGGAGAAGAATGAAGTGCAGGTAAGTCCGAGTCTGCAGAGTTTGCAGAATATCACAGGGATCTTTACCGTCCTTATTTACACTTCCTGTGTTGTTTCCAGCAGAGAGAGCCAAGCATTGGACCTGGTATGCATCGGTCCAAGTCCAAACATGAACTGAAGCTGCTGGAGAAGATTCCTGAAAATGCCGAGGCTACAGTGGTCCTCGTGGGTAAGTTACTCATCTGTCCATGAACTTCTCTTGCAGCATCAGCAGTTGTGGCACACAGGTACATCTTAGGCCCCTGAAGGTTCTCATCTATATCACATAATATGGCATCACATTGCCTAGCAACCATCAATCAACAGGCTAAGATTACCCATTTATAGGTTTTTATGCACCTACAACACTTTTATAAAAGCATGGTATAAATTTAATGTCATGATTGTAACATCTAATTTATACCCAGAAAAACTTGAATTATATATGAAATCATCATGTTCCCCAGCAACCACCTAGCAACAGACTAAAATCACAGGCCAGGTAATGCTGTACCACTAGTTGTTTTTTTGTTTGTTTTTTTATAACTACAGTTAGTCTAAAAACCGGTTACTACTTACAAAACTTTGCCTTTGGTTGCATGTAGCGCTTTCTGCACACTGACCATCATGTCCTGTGGTTTCCCAGGCAGCGTGGACTTCCTGGAGCAGCCCACCATGGCGTTTGTGCGGCTGCAGGAAGCGGTGGAGCTGGAGTCCGTCCTGGAAGTGCCAGTGCCGGTCAGATTTCTCTTTGTTTTGCTGGGACCCGCCACTACAAGCATGGACTACCACCAGATAGGACGCTCCATCTCCACCCTCATGTCTGATAAGGTGAGTGGTGGTGCTGATTTAGACAAGGGGTGTCAAAAATAAGCCCCTGCAGCCAGGATTGGCCCAGCAAAGGCTCTAATCCGGACCACTGGTCAACTTTGAAAAATGTGAAGGAGGACATAGAAGAATTTTACATTTATATGAAATAAAATAACACCTGTAGGTTTCTGTTGGCACCAATGATGTTGGGTAAATTGGTTTATTTCTGCCATCATCTTTCAGCAATTCCACGAGGCGGCCTACCTGGCAGATGACAGGCAGGACCTGCTGAATGCCATCAACAGCTTCTTGGACTGTAGCATCGTGCTGCCACCTTCAGAGGTGGGAGGTGATGAACTGCTGCGGTCTGTCGCCCGCTTTCAGAGGGAGATGCTGCGGAAGAGGGAGGAACTCGAGGTCAAACTAATGGCCAAAGAGCCTAAAAGCCTTGAAGAAAAAGGTAAGTGTTTCCGTTTCAATTAGGAATTTCACTCGATTTGATTTTAGGTGCCTTCTCATGGGTTTTAACGTAAAGCTCTGTTGTCACTCAGAGGCACTCCTCAAACCTTCGAAAAAGTCAGATGACCCCTTAGAGCGTACTGGGCGGCCTTTTGGTGGGCTGATACGAGACGTGCAGCGGCGTTACCCAAAGTATGTCAGCGACTTCAAGGATGCCCTGAACAGCCAGTGCATGGCCGCAGTTATCTTCATCTACTTCGCTGCCCTCTCTCCGGCCATAACATTTGGAGGTCTGCTGGGTGAGTCTGTGTGAGGGAATTGAGAGCGTATTCACGCCTCATATCGCAAATCCTCTCCGTGTTTTGGTAATAGTGGCCTCTTGATTAACCTTTTAACCCCGGGTCTGCCTCCAGGTGAGAAGACAAACGGCCTGATCGGTGTCTCTGAGCTGATTGTGTCAACATCAGTGCAGGGGGTGGTCTTCTGTCTGCTCGGGGCTCAGCCATTGCTGGTTGTGGGCTTCTCTGGACCTCTGCTGGTCTTTGAAGAAGCCTTTTACAGTGTAAGTTGCATAAAAACATATGAAGTTAATTTCAAAAATGTTAAAAATGCTGGTGACTTACTAAATAGGCAAACAAATGTGCTTAATGTCTCTGTGCTCACAGTTCTGCACATCAAACAACATAGAGTACCTGACGGGCCGCGTCTGGATCGGCTTTTGGCTCATCATCATCGTGGTCACCATGGTGGCCTTCGAAGGCAGCTTCCTGGTGCGCTTCGTCTCCCGCTTCACCCAGGAAATCTTCTCCTTCCTCATCTCCCTCATCTTCATCTGCGAGACCTTCATCAAGCTTGTCAGGGTACACATGAGACGTGAAAAGCTCCTGATTAGAAAAAGTTTTTGTTGGCACGCTGTGTGTTTGCGCCGCTGACGCTAAGCAGAGCAGGCTAATCTCTGGACAGGGTTCAGAAGTCGGGGTCGAAATGAGCGTGTTTTTCTAACAAGCACACCTGAAATCTTTTCTGATTGATGGAGCCTGAATCCTAAATGGATTTAGAGTTTTAATTATGGTCCAGACTTATGATTTTTGGAAGATCTGCTATTTTTAGAGTTTTATGGCACGGACTTAAAAGGCATTTTGCTACGAGCTAATCTCATTTCAAAGAAAGAGTGGTTGCGATACCTGTTAATCTGTCTAAGAAAAGTAATCACAGCGTGTTTGCGTGAGCACCTTTTTATAATATGAAACTCTGTGTGCAGATTTTCAAGGAGCACCCGCTGAAAAGCTGTTCCCTCAACGGCACCGATGCAGACGACTTGGCGGAAAACATCACCCTAATGATGAAAAACAGCAGCCAGCCGTCGACTGTGAAGGTCAGCGGGGAACCGAACACGGCGCTGCTCTCTTTGGTTCTCATGGCGGGGACGTTTTTTATCGCTTTCTACCTGCGCAAATTCAAGAACAGCGCTTTCTTCCCTGGAAGGGTGAGGAGCTGAAATCTGTAATTAAGATCTGCAGCAAATATTTGATCTTGTTTGATGTGACACATTTTGCAGTCTTCTTTAAACCGCGCCGTCTGTGGTGTTTAGATACGCAGGATTATTGGAGACTTTGGGGTACCGATCGCCATTCTCATCATGGTTCTGGTGGATTACTCCATAGAAGACACATTCACACAGGTGAGACTCAGTGGACTGTGCAGTGTGTTTATCATGCAAAATATTGGAAAAATAAGGAACCTCCTTATCTCAGAGGTTGATGGGAGTCTGTCTCGTGTCTTCCTTACAGAAACTGAGTGTCCCCAGTGGATTTTCAGTGACGAATTCCGACAAGCGCGGCTGGTTCATCAGTCCGCTTGGATCAAATGGGGAATTCCCTATCTGGATGATGTTTGCCTGCTGCTTGCCCGCTCTGCTGGTTTTCATCCTTATCTTCATGGAGACTCAGATCACCACGTGAGTTTTGCTGGAGCCGCATCACACAGGCAGATGTTTGAAGAGTTGCTGGTGTACATTTATACGCTGCTCAAAAACTCCTTAAGGAACACTTTTTATTTTTTCCCCTGTGGACACTATCAAGTCAAAGTCCTGGGATATTGATCTGGTCAGTGTAGTAGCAGAGGAGGTTGTTAATCGGTTTCAGCTGCTTGGATGTTAATGAAATTAACAACACGCACATTAGAGGTGCAACAACAGAGAGAGGGACAGACCCCAAACCAGGAATGGTTTTACAGGTGGAGGGCACTGACAGTTTTTCAATAGTTTTGTATGAACGTCATTCCGTAATCAAATAAATAAAATCTGTTACGTTTTTAAAAGTACAAAACTATCAGATTCATATCCAAATGTGGGGTCAAACAAGTTTAGTAGAGAACTATTTGTAACTTTTTACTAAGAAAGAAATAAATGCACCTGGTCATTATTTATTTCCTAACTGATATTTCTAAACAGCCAGATCATTTTTTAATTAAACACAGTTGTACAGAGTAGACTGCACATTTAATAACCTCCTTCCAAAAACAGACAAACACCCTGTTACTGAAAGAAGGCAGATAATGTAACAGATGAAACACGGGGAAAATGTCACTCAGCTTTTTTTATGCAGGATATTAAAGTATAAAGATATTTATTTCAGTTTAACACTTTCTACAATGGCCTGCTGGGGGCAGTATTCCTTTATTTTTTTCCATTATTTTCTACATTTTTACCATAACTGAAATGGTAAACTACAGCAACAAAACATCAGCCGAGTTCTTTAGTGACCAACATTTTATTGAATCAGGAGATTCTCTGGAAGTTTTGTGTATTTTAGTCGTGATGCACAGTACCGTGCACAAGTTTAAACGTTTAACCACTGTTCATTTATTTGTTTTTCTTCCAAGGAGCCAGAATTTCTTATCATTTTTTCATCTTGACCAAAATTTCTGGCCGAGTTTTGTTGGACATTGGCTGCTTTTACCACTCATGTCCAGTCCACTCCATGTACCTGACCATTTTCAGAGGAATATTTTGTTTGTTTATTTAAATTGCTCAGCACTGCCCTCATGAGACATTCAAGCATAAAATAAACTCCTTACTCAAGGGATGAACTTCTGTTGTGTCTACACATAACCAACAATTTAGCAAAGAGCCAGTGTGAAATGATATCTTTAGGGATTTTGTTACTAGCAGCCTGTCACAAAAACACACAATTAGTTCTGATTCCTTTAGTTGAATCTATGAAACTAGCAGGGTTGTCTGCAAAAAACTATTAGTCAAATTGACATGGTGTGCAGTGTGTCCTTAAAAAAGTTGAGGACAAAAGGAGTAAGTTTACCCAGAGTGAAGAATAAAGGTGGTCATACCAAAGATTGAATTTTCCAGCTATTTCCCAGTTTCAACCCATCAGATGTTTAAGCTGTTTTCTAAATGATGTGTTTAGTGTTTTAGCTTCTGTAACGCATCAAAATGCAGATAAACAAGCACACACACACAAAAAAAAAATGCCGTACCTCATCATATGTGATTAATCTGAAATGTGTTTCTTACGTTTGGCTCTGTCCCGGCTTCCTGCAGGCTGATAGTTAGTAAAAAGGAGCGCATGCTTGTCAAAGGTTCTGGTTTCCATCTGGACCTGCTTCTGATCGTGGTGCTGGGCGGCACCTCAGCTCTGTTCGGCCTGCCGTGGATGGCCGCTGCGACCGTTCGCTCGGTGACCCACGTCAACGCCCTCACCGTCATGAGTAAGGCCGTCGCTCCCGGAGACAAACCTCGCATCCAGGAGGTGAAGGAGCAGCGGGTCACTGGGCTTCTGGTTGCAATCTTAGTTGGTGAGTTCCAGACTTATCATCTTTTCTTTCCTCCCGTGGCTGTGTCCTGTGTGAACTTTACCCTTTAACGCTCTCCTCCGTTAGGCCTGTCGATCGTGATCGGCGACCTGCTGTGTCAGATCCCCCTCGCCGTGCTCTTCGGGATCTTCCTCTACATGGGAGTGATGTCGCTCAACGGTATCCAGCTAACGGAGCGGATGATGCTTTTGCTCATGCCACCAAAGTATCACCCTGACCACACCTATGTACGCAAGGTGAGAGGAACATGAAAACACACTTTTACAGCCAAAGTAAAGGACGTGAGGATGGAGATGCTCTGCTGTAGCAGAAACAAACAGAAAAAGAAGTTTCAGGATTTTTGCGGTCTGTCACAAAAAAGATGTTTTGCACACTTAAAAACGCCGGAGTTCCCTCAGAGTGGTTTCCAGCTAGGGGAGACTTTATCTATGTTAATCCACACAACCTCTAAACGTTTATTTAAACCCCTAAAATAGTTTGCAAAGGTTATACGTATCTACATTTGGGAATTTTTTTGAGCGCTCCCTGCAGAAACTGTTGTCCTTGTCAGATATGTGAGCGACCTCTCTATCCTTCAGGTCCGCACGCTGCGCATGCATCTCTTCACCTGCATCCAGCTGGTGTGTTTGGCGGTGCTGTGGGCCATTATGTCGACGGCGGCGTCTCTGGCTTTCCCCTTTGTCCTCATCCTCACCGTCCCCGTCAAGATGTTTGTGCTGCGACGGGTCTTCACTGTCAAAGAGATGGCATGCGTAAGTTAACCACAGGGGGGCGCAGTGCCCTGCTTTACGCTGACACACACTGTAGAGGTAAAAAAGGAAACGTAATTTAAATGTTATGATTAGAACTGATTGATAATATCGATAACATTTATGGCTCTGATGTTGATCCACAGAGATGGGTAGCACAAAACATCAGATCAAAATTTCACTAATTTTTAAAAAAATAAAACAAATTTGCGATAAAATAGTCATTTAAATGAGTCACAGCTGTTTCGGAGTTAGTTCAGGTTACTGAATGTGACTTCTTGTCTTTCTTTTAGCTGGATGCTGACGACGCAGAGCCAAAGTTTGACGAGCGCGAGTGTCACGACGAGTACTCGGAGATGCAAATGCCGGTGTGATCCACAGCGAGCCCTCGCATCGTCAAATCGCACCGAAAATCTGTCAGTTATCACCAGTTAGAGTTCTGGGACGGCGTCCTTCAAGCGATGTCCCTCTTCATCATCATCATCAAGACATTGAAATGCAGTATGTCAAAGGTTGCTTTGGCTTTTAACTTTTCACTATTTAAGAAGCTTTTCTGCTGCTTTAATAACAGTTTGTGTCTCAAATAATGGAAAAGCAGCTGGAAACTCTTCGCTTAGTTTATTTGTTTTTATTTTAAACATTTCAGGGGACAGGAGATACCGAATCAAATGACTTTATCTCGAGCTCGAGTTAAACATGTTAACAGTAGATAGACGTGTACGATTGATTTTTAGCCCTGAAAGTTGCTCTGATTCACATTGAATATGTGGAAGATATACGGGATACATTCCTTTATGCTTTATGAGTTATTGCTATTCACACTCTTTTCTTCACATTTTAAGATCACCAAGCGCCTTACGAAGGAAATATAAAGGTATTAAGATTTTTTTTTCTTTATTTTGTCTTATTTTAGACAGCTGATCACTTTACACGAAAGCTTGTAGCACTTTTAACATAACAAAATCTGAACAATGACTGTATTTTATGTAATCAGTGTTGCTTTAGTTTGCTTCTTAAATGATCTGTGAGTGATTTTTAGCCTACTTTAACTATTTGTTGTTTTTGTGCAGAAGCATTTTAAATGTTTATATTTCACCTGTGGTGAGTGAAGATCACCAGCAGGGGGAGATCTTGTGGGACTGTTATGACGTTCCATAAGAAAAAAGAAAACTGTACAAAAAAAATGCTATTTCTCTCTAAACTAATGACATCGTATCACATTTCTCATCGTGCAAACACTTTTTTTAAAACGGAAAATGACACTGTGGCTTATTAAGTGTACTTTAAAATGTCTCCACACACATATATAGACACACACCCGTACACGTGTAGGGCACTAATGTAGTTTGTTCTGAGGTCTCATTTCTCCTGTGGTCGGTTAACGGTGGTTTCTTTGTGCCAAATGTCTCGTGTAAATAGTTTTGTGGTCAGAAAAATAAGCTGCACTTCAGTCACGTTAGATCTCCTCTAACTTGAAGGATTTTCAGCCTAATTTTAAATATTTTCACAGCAGGACATTCCTCGTTTTTAATATGTCACTCGCGATTGTGTCAGCCTGGTCGACAAAATTTCCAAACAACCTGTTTAGACAATCTCATGGATTGGTTAAAGCTTTGACTGTGTCAAATAGTTTAAATATTCAGCCCCTGTTACTCTCACCTACATGTTTCAAGCACTACGTTTCCCTCCAGGCGGGCCAGTTTCACTGTTGCTGTGATCTTGTTGCCTTTTTCATGTCACAGTCGCACAAAATCTGAAGTGTCTGTGGGACCATGAAGTGATCTGTGTCTCCTGTGTTTTAAGGATGGCACACGTTACAGTAGTTTGCACATTTGAGACATGCATAAATCAAAAATCTCTGTTATTTATCTGTTTATAATCTGTGGAGTAATTGCTGCTTTAGAAGCCTTAATCGGGTTACGTCACACAATATTTTTTTTCTTCTGTACACACACGTTCAGCTGCAGCACGCCCACGGCAGTGAAGGCGATATTTATGAGAGGTTGGATTTGAGTGTCAGTTTTGTGTCTGCTTCTTGTGCCTGTGATTGAAGTGAAGGCAGTCTGTGTATGTCAAAGTATGCTGATGATTAAAAGTATGTGGATTCATTTCAAAGCAATAAAGTCTTCAGGCTATTGCTGATGTTCCCGTGTACAATAATGGTTCAAATATTGATGATGAATAAAAGTTCTTTTCTATCGTTTGAGTCTGTTTGGCTGTCTTTATGTAAAACACCGTGGAGGAAGGAGAAAAGGTAGATGCACAGAAGACATATTTAGTCCCAACTGCACATACAAGGAACTGGGCTCTATGATTGTCAACTATCACGTCTTGGTGCTGCTCTCCTTTCCACTGCTTTTCCACTGAAAGGTAGAGGAAGTCCCAGAGCAGCCATACCACCAAACAGAAATTATGCAGGTGGCAGCAATCTTCTCTTAATGATCTGGTATTTGACTAAAAAAGTTGTAAAATTAACATCCAAGAGTTTTTAAAATAGCAAAAAAGAGTTTGGCAGCACAAATATGATGGTTTCAATGAATGTGCAAACAAACATCAAGACTGAGTCTGCAAGAACACAATCTGACTCACATATTGGTCTATGATATGCTGTGAAGCATGAAGAAAGCATGAGTGTGTTCATGCATTCAATTTACTATTACATGGACGGTATATTCAAGAGTGTGGACAGGTGCACGGGTCTCACTCCTAATGCTGGCCACATATTAAAAGTGAGGGACCAGCAATGTGTGTGAGCAGAGGGCTCAGAGGACCAAGAAACTTTCTGATTCTCAGCAATAAAATCTGTAAAACCTGGAACCTGAAGGGAAGCCAGTGAGCAAAAAGTGTGAAGTGATATGAAAGTATTCCTGAAGCTTTAGTTTCAGTTTTAGTTAAAGGTCACAGGTGCAGGTTTTTTATGTGCTGGTAGTGCAGCGTTAGCAAAACTGAAGAGGTTTGTTCGTGTCTGTAAAAAAAAAAAAAAAAAAAAAAAAAAGGCAATAATGGAAGACTACCTGAAAATAGAGAAAATCGGAGAAGGTACATATGGGGTTGTGTATAAAGGTAAGCAAAAGGCAACGGGGCAAATTGTGGCTATGAAGAAGATCCGACTGTAGAGTGAGGAGGAGGGCGTTCCCAGCACAGCTGTCAGAGAGGTTTCTCTGCTCCAGGAGCTGAAACATCCCAATGTTGTACGACTCCTAGACGTCCTAATGCAAGAATCTCGTCTCTACCTCATCTTAGTGTTCCTGTCCATGGACCTGAAGAAATACTTGGACTCCATCCCCTCTGGCCAGTACATGGACTCTATGTTGGTCAAGAGCTACCTTTACCAGATTTTGGAGGGCATCTACTTCTGTCACTGTCGCCGAGTGCTCCATCGTGACCTGAAACCACAGAATTTGCTTATTGACAACCTGTGTCAACATACCCGAATAACATGATTAGTTCATAACCAGGCCCCCTGGAGAGGTTTAAGACGTTTTGAGGAGGTAATTTAGTCAGCTGTGTTGGATTGAGGACAAATCTAAAACCTGTAGGACACTGGCCCTCGAGGCCAGGAGTTGCCCACCTGTGGTCTAGGTGTTTTCCAGCTCAGGGCTTGTTGAGCGGACAGTATGACGCTTAAGAAAACAGTACAGCCTTTTAGCACATCTGATTCATGGCAGCTGACTTCATTTGCTGTGCAAACACGTTTCTACCCTCATAGAGCACTTGACAGGTGGCTAGGGGGTTGAGCAGATCATCTGCTAGCTGGAAGTTGGAAGTTTGGTCCCAGTCTGCATAATTCTTAGTGGGCAAGATGCTAAACCCCACTTTGCTTTCCAATGTGTTCAGCGTGAATGTGTGTGAATGTTAAACAGAATGCATTGTAGAAATATGTGATGTATGAATGAGACATGACATATAAAACACTTTGAGTGCTCAAGTATAGTAGAAAAGCCCTGTTTACCATAGTAACTTGGGACAGGCTGAGTTGTATTTGTAACTGAACTGATTGGAGCCTGAAAGGGGGTGTACATGTAGGAACAGGTGTTTGTGATATTTAGAAACTTGAAGCAAGACAGGAGTTAAATATTTAAGGGGAGAAACGAAAAGCAGTGTTAGTGAGTGACAGATGAAGGAGTCGGATACATTACAACAGGGGCATCAAGCTCTTTGTACTGTAGTTCATAGGGCAGATGCAGCTCCACTTAGAGCGACCAGGTCCCAACAAAATAGATGTGCTTAGTTTTTTGTGTGGGACACATCACCAATTTGAATTTAAGTTATTGCTTAACCGTCAGAGGCCTCTACAGACACACTGTAGTTTGGACAGGACACAGAGGATATGTGAGTACATACTGCTGATTCATTTTCTCAGTGATAGTTTCATCATATTCAAAAAATCTGCTAAGCTTGTATGTTTTTGGTGAGCTGTATGACTCCAGAGATGTGGGACGGAGGAGGAAGAATAAAGATGCGATGCAGTCCCACTTAAAGAGGAACGTCGCCCTACCACAAGACTTACAGATGATTAATGTAAAATGCCCAAAATCAGACCTGTGATGTGTTTTTAAATCCTTTATATTACATATTTATGAATGTTACACTGCTTCACATTTACATGGATGGACATTTACTCAGCTGTTCCATCCATCTGTCCGTCTTTTCTCTTCCACTTATCCAATTCAGGGTCGTGTGTGTGTCTATTAATGGATAGTTTGCTTTAATAAAAATCTCTAGCTTAGATGATGATAAACTGAATTTGTATCATGTGTTTATAAAGAAACAATGGAAAGTTTGGAATCTTTTGTAAGACACATTTTCAAATTATAGCCAGTAACAAAAAATAAACATGTATAATAAAAAGTAATATAGTCTCCTCTTTCATAAGCCCACCAGAGGTTGCCACACACTGGTTCAGCTTTTACTCGTGACGGTCTGTAAACATGGACGACAGTGGCTGCATATGGAGGTTTATTTCCTTTATTTACACTGATGTTAAGGGCTTTGTGTTTATAATATGATCCAGAATATTCGAGCACGTTTAGTGGAAAGAGACAAATTATACTTGCACATAATTTTTCATTTTGGATACAGAAATAACAAAGCATGGAAAACCTGGATCTTTTCTTACTGAGTCATTTAATTTGTCACTGTCCAAAATAATAAATCACTGGGTTAAAGTGAGTAAACCTGCGTCTGATTCTGTTTGTTTCATGTGTTTCCAGGGATGTCCCACTGCCATTCAAACACATTTGGACTCTGACGTGTTCCTGTGTTTTAAAGGGACTTTTTATAATTACACAGAGAATTAAACTAAAACTTTAACCACCAGGGGGCAACATTTTATCAGTTGAGTGATCCCCGTTTAACGTCATCTTTTCTTTTTAGCCTAAAAATGTGTTGAAAGCTTACACAGGCCCACTGCATCATCTGGTGGTACAAATGGAAATTGCATGAAATCGCAGCCCAGGCCTCATTTAACTTTAATTAGGTTCTTTACAATATAATGCACAAATCTGACTTTAAGCTCTCAAAACTATGGTGAACCTATTAACTAGTAAAATTCCTTTATATGGTCACTGAGTCATACAAAACAGCTGCGGCTGCCATGAGACAAATATCTATTTTTGAATTTGCATCAATTCACATCTTTGCATATGGAGGTTTTGCAGGCATGTGACCCCTAACCATGTGACATTAACCTATTTGCCATTTTGGATGTGTGACAGTCATAGTGACAATGTCAGGCCTAAGTCACATAGGCCTAACGACCAGTCTGCACTATGGTCTAAATGTCTAACCCCTGATTGGTCGGTAAAAATTTCCTTGCAGTTTCCTGCGATCGCCCATTGTTTCAATGGAAGATGATGACTTGTCTATGCTGAAGAAATGCTGAAGAATAATTATTATGCACATAGGTGTTTTAACATGAAAACACAGTGGATAGTTACAACAACATATGGTTAGAAAGGCTGGGACTGAATACCTGTCCACTGGGTTGCAGAGGTAGAAGAATCAGGCTTTGACACAGACAGCATCTCTTCTGTCTTCACTCATGAGCTCATCGGCTACCAAAGACAAGCAGCTAGAATGAGGAGTGAAATGGTGCAATGATGATAACATGGAGCAGAACTTGCAGGGAAAGTTTCCAGGTTTGAATCTGGCCATCTTCAAGCAGTTTATCAGCGAGCAGGATATTTTTACACATTTAGTATTTTTACATGTTATTCTCCGCTTTTTATTTGTATGGTTGTTAAAGTATCTGTTTTCAATTAATTTCAGTTCCTGACTTGATCTGAAATCTTAATAGACAGGGACTGAAGATGAGCTTTTTTTTACCTGTTATGTGAGGAAATTATAACACTCATTTCCACAGACTGTATATAAAGGATGGATGTATGCTTGCTGGTCTGAAATTGGTATCTAATGCAAAAGTACCTAAAACCTACATTCTTTTTAATTGCAACTGGGGGGGTGTGTGTGACTGCTGTGGCGCCATAAAGACTTTGACTGTTTTTTAAAAATGGCTGTTTGGATCCACTGAGCTCAATAGAAACCTTCCCAACGAGTTTGCAACTTCACTCACTTTTTCTAAAATGCTCAGATCAAAACCTTTGAAAATGGGCAAACAAGCCAGTAATATCACAATGGTTAGTCAATCCTTTATATACAGTCGGTGGTCAGTTCAGCTAATATTTACGACTAACATTTAAAATTATGCCAAGAATTATTATATTTGTTTTACATTATTTATAGTATAAAACTATAAAGTTGTTAAATAAAATGAGGACCAAGAATTGAACCCTGTGGAGCGCCAACAGATTTCCCTTCAGTAAAATAATGTAAATCAGTTTAGTATGTGTTCTCTTTGTTACTTTATCAATCCAACTTTATTTTGTGATTTTCTACATGAAATTCAGTACTACTTTATTATCATTGTGCTGATAGAAAACTAAAACTACTTTTTAAATGTCAAAAATCTTTCTGATAAAAGAAAGAAGTTGGGAGGATGCAGACATCTACTCTGGATCAACACTGAGGCATAATCAAAACAGAAACGCCTGTTTTTCTCCCTTGTAAGGGCAGGGTGTTCTTCTGTCTTTGAGTAAACAGTACAGAAGGGGGTGGTCTGTTGCTCTTTCCACATCACCCTCACTCTTATGGCCACAAGGAGAACAATGGCTGCTCTGTTGGTTTGGCTGTTCAGCGTCGGAG